GGGTTCGATTCCCGGGTCGGACAAAGTACTACTCGGTTTTTATAAATTCTCAGTAGTAGCACGGAGTCTGGAATTGTGCCCGGTATATGGCAATAGGCTCACCCCCTATATTACATGGGACTCATAACATAAATAGTGAAAAGTGGGTGTTACATTGTACAGTGGCATAATGTACACCTCTGCCTACCCCTTCGGGGATAAAAGGCGTGATGTTATGTTATGTTATAAATGTACACTAAGATTTTCCCCTATGTCGTGAATACAAACATACAATTTCACATACACATGACACCTATTATTGGGAGCAAGTATAACAGCTCACACATAGGACCCACTTAGTTTTTACTCAAATTTCCGTGGTGCTTGGCGACTGGGCTTCACCCAGTTGTACAGTCTCTTCTTTGTGCCTTTAGGCTTAATTCATTCTGTCTCCTGCAGTAATTCACCGAGGGAAGTGGAAACACATGACACCCAGATGCGAAACATTTGTGGATGGTACATAGAGTTGTTCCTTGCGTATTTCAAACCCGCTACACGTTGCGATCTTAAGGGATTATACATTTAACACAGCCCGTGCAGCAGCGCTCTCTGATAAACCTGAACCTTTTATACTGCGACCTCCAACCCGCCTGCCTGCGGAGATTATGACAAACCCTCTTATGTAGAGGAGACTCATAGACCACCAGTGGACTGTCTCCTGCTATGACGTATACGGGTCGGGCAGCAGCGCGCTCTGATAAACCTGAACCTTTTATACTGCGACCTCCAACCCGCCTGTCTGCGGAGATTATGACAAACCTGCTATGACGTATACAGGTGAACTCGCTGGTTGAAGTTAGTGTTAGAGAAGATACAAATCTAGGCAATGTTTAACATATTTTTAACCTCAATTTACATACAAGAATGTATCATTCAGAACATTGTTCATATATGCAGTTCATGCAATACTAGCGATCCGTCCTGGCTTCTTACGCTCGTTATCAGTGTTCCACTACCCCTTTGGCTAAAGCTACTCCTTGAAGCCCCCTGAGGGCTTACTCTTGAATCCAATTCGATCGATCGACATTAGTATTGTGAAATTTCGTACTCTTGAGTTGCAACACTAGCGCCCATTGCATCAGTATTGCGTGGATATTTAATGAACTAAATGGTATTGAGTTTGGCTTTATATTCCGTACTCTGAATGCAATTTTAACAGCTACGATAGGGGTTGTATAGTTTTCACATTGAATAATTATTGAGATTTTATTGGATTGAAATTGCATTGACATTGAGATTGGTTTCAAGAGTAAGCACCCAGATGTGTTAAAAACCGCATCAAAATCCGTTGCGTAGTTTTCAATATCTTAGCATACATAAAGATAGACGGAAAAAGGAAAATTGTTTTATACTTCTAGCTTCTGACAGCGACTTCGTCCACATTCCCGTCGAATAAAAACTAGCCTATGTGTTTATCCAGACCATAATCTACCCCTGTTCTAAATTTCATCCCGATCCCTTCAGCCGTTTTGACGTGATTGAGTGACAAACACACAAATCGTATTTTTAATATTAGTCTTAGTATGTAGTGATTTATGTATGTATATTTGTGTTGCAGATGGTAGTTCGCCGGTCGAACTTTAAATGTTCAAGTTGATACAACAACACGATGGGACAACAGACGTCTAGGAAGAGTAAGTTGTTTTATTTTTTATACTATATAATATGTGGGATTATATATGTGTATATAATCTGAATACTTGGTGAAGTAATCTTATCTTATATACTATACTAATATTATAAAGAGGAAAGATTTGTACCTATTTTTGTATGTTTGTAATGAATAGGCTCAAAAAGTTACTGGGCCGATTTAAAAAATTCTTTTACCAATGGAATGCTATATTCTTACAATTTGACATAGGCTACATTTCATTTTGAAAAAAAATTAGGGATCCTTGGTAAAATTTGAACTATGTAACCGAAAGTGTAGAAAAATGAGTCCTAAAATGTCTTTCGTCGAATGCGCTGCTGAAACTATTAGCGATAGAACAAAATAATGTACAACAATATTGAAGAACATCATAATGTCTACAAAAAACTCCGCGGTAGCATATGTCCAACTATAGTAGTTATGTCACTACAACAATCCAAATTTCCAAAAATAATTAATAATTGTCTACCCCGTGCGAAGCCGGGACGGGCTGCTTGCTAGTACTATTATATAAAGCGGAAGAGTTTGTTTTTTTGTTTGAACGCGCTAATCTCCGTAACTACAAGTCTGATTTGAATAATTCTTTTTGTGTTGGATAGCGCATTTATCGAGGATGGCTATAGGCTATAAAACATCGCCCTACAACGAATAGGAGCTGAGCAGAGCGTGTGAAACAGCGCAGAAGTAGCTAGTATAATATATATATATAAGATGTGTGAATGCAGTACCTCGATCAGAGATAATCCTTCTTGGATTTCCGGATGTCTGTTGATGTATAGCAAGTTTATTCAATACTTCTTGAGCTGATGTAGTCTTTGTTGGAAACAGCCACACAAATTTTGTAAAACCATCGACAATGGTGGGTATATAGTTGTACTGCTTACGTGTCACTTAGAGGACCAATATGGTCAATGTGAAGTGTGTCAAGTGGTGTTTCCCCTTTTTCTATAGGGTGCAGGAATCCTTCTTGTCGAATGTGGATATACATATAAAATCTCACATATATGATATACACACCCAGTATCTGAAAGACGACGGCGAGCACGGGTGACTCGTCGCCCGACAAGTATAAGGTGCGCGACAGTTCAGTCCGAGACACGCTGCACTTTTTAATTCGTATTCAACCCACAATGAAAGCGGCTCCGTGTTTTGTAGCTCTGCTTCGACCTCATACTGCACCGCAGACGGTCTCAAAGTCTCCAAGTACATGTTCGTGCGCGGCAATAGTCCAATCACAGGGCTGCAAGCCGCACGCGGTAGTCTTGTGCTTAATAGTTCGCGACTAAGATCACTCAGATCAGTTCGCCGCTCCTAAACGAACTAGTTCCCTCTTTTAGTTCGTCAGCTCCCGATTCGCAGTTGGAGTTGGAATTGGAATGAATCGTATAGGAATTAGGAACGGACTGGCAGCCAAATCGCTCCCTAGTTCGTCAGCTCCCGACTCCCAGTTGGATTTGGAATGGGAATGAATCGGATAGGAACTAGGAAGGCACTGGCAGCCAAATCGCTCCCTAGTTCGTCAGCTCCCGACTCAGCTCATGACTTTTCAAGTGAGATCATAATGTTATCGCATTTTTTAGTTCGGTCTTCACCATAGACTATACATATAAACGACTTCACAATCCTTGTACTTATACTTTGAAATACGAACTAAGGAACTAAGGAGTTGGGAATGACGTGAACTAGTTCGCATATTTTGAATGTGGGAGCGCTCTTTTGAACTAGTTCGTTCGCGAACTACACAAGCCTAGCACGCGGCAGCCGCGCTCGATTGCCGCTCGATGTTTGGACACACCTTTAGAGAGCTCTCAGACCACCACAGATGGGGTCCAATAGGGCTGATGCCGATACAGAGCCGCAGAGGACTTAACGGGTTGCCGGGGCTCAGGCTCGAAATGCAGGAGTAGGAAGGGGGTGGTTTTTAGTCAGTAAGAGTTTGACACCTTCTCGCCTAACCCAAGGCGGGAGAAGACATTGGATGATTTTTCCCCATTAAAAAAATGTTTCATTACGATTAAAATCTTAGCGCATTTTTTTTTATATTAATGGAGTAATTTATATGACTAATTGGTATATTTGTTCGTTTTAGGCGGAGAGTGCACTTGCGGGTGCGGTGCGTGGGAGCGGCGCAGATACGCGGAGTCTCCCAGTAGCGTGCATAGATACGTCAGCGCGGTCACTGACAGGTATGTATTCATTATTTGTAACACTCATGTACTAGGTCGACCTGTACCGGACTGTGTAACACAATCTAAGAATCTGAATTACACACACTTGTAATTGTTGTATCGTCGTGAAACTCGGCAGTTGTATGTAGATTAGACGACAATACAATATTATGGTGCCGTCGAGCTGGTTTGATGGTGGAATTGGAAGGTGGGTGATGGAACCTTGAGCTACTAGTAAACATTAACGGTCTTATTAATAAAAATCTCGTATTCCAAACTTATTCGCGGGTTAGACTTGGACTAGCTAATCCCGGACTAACAAAGTATTAACTTCAGAATTGAATTCCTATTAATAAACATGGAATAACCTCGGAATAACAATACTATCCTTACACTAGGTTTAATCCATTTTTTATGGTAACCCAGAAATTTTAAAAGTAAAAAACTGAGAAGGAGGTACGAAATCCTATGAAACCTATGAAATCACTGCTTTATTGACAGCTGTATGTTAGCTTGACATCTTGACAAATTGCTGTCGCTGTCAGTTTTGTTTAAAAACGTTCATCGAAATATTATTAATTTCTTTTATTAAATACAATTCAATTTATGAATAACGAAAAACGAGCGAAAAGCACGGCCGCGCTATTAACTAGCGCAAAGAATAAAAGGTAAATAAATACACACGATGGCTGTTAATTATGGCGTATCTTAACAAAGAAAAAATGACTTCATTTTGTTTATATTTTTTTAGGATTCAGCCATAGAATTATAACGCATCGGTTCTTAAAGAATATTCTCAAATCATTGAAAATAAATCGTTAAGCACAAACACTAACACAATCAAGATGAAGGAGTAGGAGGAAATATAAACAACGTAAGATTTTTGCAGCATTTTTATTTTATTCTATTTGTTCAGATTAAATTTGTTCTGATGGTGATCTGAATATGTAGGCAGTTTATATTATGTTAATCTATAGTATCTGAATCACATAATGCTGTACAGGTATTTGGCTGAATATTCATTCATTTTATGTATTTTTTAGATTTAACGAGTTAAATACCAGACGTGAGTAAGTCAGATGAAAATTCAGTAGAAAGCCATAAAGATCAATGCTCGAAAACAAGAAGCTAATACAACAGGCCACTTGGATTGATATTTACCTCTCCGCGGGCCTATGTTCCGATTGCACTCAAAACTTTCAAATAGGGTGGTATAAAGCCACCTCTTAGTCACCAGCGAGACCATTTTTTACCATGTCAATAATAAAAACTGCAGTAAATCGGTATTTTGATTTCTCTTGTTCTTCACGTTCCCATACCTACTTCCATGGGAACGAAGGCGAAGCCGCTGGCAGAAACTAGTCATAGACACTTCTATCTATAATCGAAGTCTATTTACAACCTCATCATCGTAAATGTTGAATAAAATAATATCTATCCATTTTACCACGTTTTACAATGATAGCATGACTTTTTATTTATAAAAAGTTGTTGCGTTTTTACGTATATAAATAGAATTCATACTAATATTATAAATAAGAAAGTGTGTATCCGTTTGTTTGTTTGTCCGTCTCTCGCGACAATACAAAGCGAATTAACGTGTATTTGAAGGGATAGCAAGTGAGATGGGCTACTTTCTGTCTCTTTCTATCCCCCCACTTCCCTAAAATGGTGGGTTTATATAAAGCGTTTTACAATTTTCAAGTTAGAAAGATTAAAATTGGTGTTTTGACTATTTGTGACTACCAAAAAACTTCGTGCCTTCATTTTTATGCAATTCTTCCCCCAAATTCATGAAAGAGCGCGAGCGAAACCGTGGATAAAAGCTAGTAACTCCATAATCTGCACTAATATTATAAATAAGAAAAATAATAGTTCTGTCCCGGAAATCCCACAGGAAAGGACCTATGCTTTAATATTCCGGGACCGATCGTTTAAACCACTGAATCTATTTTGTTTAATTTGGTACAACTGAGGTTTGCAACCCGGGAAAGGGCATAGAATAATTTTTATCACGAGAATGTACACTATACGGATAAAACCCATGTGGGAATGCTTATTTTTTGAAATCACGAAAAAAAATTCATTTTACAATAAATATAACTTAGGTACAGATTTGTTAAATCGCATTAGAATTAACCTTGGAAAAGAGTTATTCAAAAATCCACATTCTACCAGAAGGCATTATAATACGCGGACGAAGTCGTGGGATATAGCTAGACTCGTACCTATATACGTAATATTGACGCAATACAAGGAAATAGGTTATAATAAAATAGGTTTTATCTGATAATGCCGTACACCACTCGATACTGGTCATCAAAACCATATTGGAAACTCGGTTGTCAATAAAGAAAAAATTATCTATCAACAAAATGTCAAAATGACACTAATCCAAGCTTACACCGTCGCTAAACCATGTGGCACCATGGACTAACTTTTATTCTCAGACTAACGTTGGAATAGCTTAGTCCGACGTTACTCCTTGTTTATTAATACCGAATTTGACTATTCTGAGCCTAAACCATGGAGTAAAGTTATTCTTACTCTATTCTATGTTTATTAATAAGAGGGATACAGTTTGGGCTCATTGGTTACGTCCATTTTTCCAGATGACGATAACATATATGATTAAAAGCGTGACATTAGTATGTCAGGACATAAATGTAATTATGTGTATGTATGTATGTGAAGTGGAATTTTGCAACCACCTACCTAAATTTTGAAGCAAATATCGTCAACCGATTGAGCTATAATTTTATATACATACTAGCGGACCCGACAGACGTTTTCCTACATATGACTACTGCAGCGCCATCTGCCGGGCTGATTTGTGAATCTAAACCATCCAGGGCGCCACTCAAACGCGTACAGAAAAATTCATTTAAATCGGTCAAGCCGTTTAGGAGGAGTATGACGTACACACGTACAGCAGAATTATATATCTTACTTAATATATATAAATCTCGTGTCACAATGTTTGGATCAATGGACTCCTAAACCACTTAACCGATTATAATAAAATTCGCACACCATGTGTAGTTCGATCCAACTTGAGAGATAGGATAGTTTAAATCTCAAATTATAGTCGCAATTTTAATTTATTGCTAATTATTTGTCTGTTATTATTTGACAGTCACAATTATCTGTTAACTCCAAATGATTCTAACTGAGTTGAGTAAGTAATCAATAGATGGTGCTTCTTAAGGAAGGTTTATATGTATAATACATGCATATTACCCGTGCGAAGCCGGGGCGGGTCGCTAGTATAGTGTAAAGAGTAAGATTTTGTTTGCGTGCCAATAAATGCTAAGATGTGTTTTTAAATATTTTTATTTATAATAATATGTATGTTATAGAACATAATTGTTGTATAATGTCCGTGTCAAACAGATGGAGCGGGCGCGAGTGCGCGTGTCGCCGGCGACGGTGGCGCCGCCCCGCGTGCGTCTGCACGGCCTACAGGCGAGTTAGTGACGATAGGTATGTACAACCGGCTTTACCATAAGGTTTCTACGACGGACACATCCGCTACTAGTGGGTTTGATTCCCGCACGAAGCAAATCTTTGTGTGCTCCACAAATTGTTGTTCTGTGGTGTGTATGTGAACTTGTATCGGTGTGAGAACAGGCCTTTGGTCAGCAGTGGACACTTATAGGCTGTTGATGTGTGATTGCAATATTTTGTTTGTTTCCAGACTGGCTGCAGTACTGACTCTTGGTGCTAGAGACCTCAGGAGGGAGTTGGACGCGATTGTCATAAATACAGGTGACACATTCTTATTTATTTATTTATAATTCATGGAGGACTTGCAGCTTATAAAAATTGATAAGAATAACAATAGGAGTAGGTAACAATGAGCCAATAACATCCTCACGTTTAGGATTAGGAATAAATTAAATTCTTTCTTTCTTCTTCATTATAAACAGACCAAGAGAAACAATAAAAAAAACTAAATATCTATTGCTGCTTAAAAATTTGAGGCGCACCTCTTTGCCTCCCGAGCGTACGGCGCGTCGCGTTCCGCGCGCGCCTCAAAGAGCCATCAGACCACCACAGATGGGACCCAATAGGGCCGATGCCGATTCGGAGTCGCGGAGAACCTAACGGGTAACCGGGGCTCCGGCTCGACGTGCAGGAGAAGGAACGGGGTGGTTTTTAGTCAGTAAGAGTCTGACACTCCCTCCCGCCT